AGAATAGGAGTTATACACAAATCATTTTTCTTTTTCACTGTAATTTAATAGCGTGTAAAGCTACAAATATTGAAACATACACATCCATCAAGTGGGATCATTTAAACCACAAAAAAACTGTGATTCTGTTCATACAAGCTTCAGCATATGATGATGCTGACATGTGGAGTTGCACCTGTCTTAGCTGATATCAATAAAGTCTATCAGAACCAGAATTACAGAACAAACGAAGAATTTCAGCACCAGAATGAAGCATTTCACAAAATCAAACATAAGCTGAGTACATTTTCCAAGTTTTACAATGGCTGACTGAAAGAATAACTAGCAGCATTAACAATCTTTTCAGTGAATCTCTCACAGGAGCACAGGGCAAAATCACTTCTTTTTTAAAAGCATGTGGATCCAGGGGTAAAAATTGTGTTTAACTTTGTATGTGGGCAAATTCACCTGCTGGCAAATGTAGCCAGCAGGTGCAGGTTCAGTATAACCTTTATATTAATAACATTACCAGAATTGTAACGCTATGAACAAAAAGGTGTAACTAAATAAAGGAATGAAAAATATGCCTCATAAAAAACACAAAACATGCCATGAAAGGCGTGACTGTAGGACAGTGGACAAATATCACTACCATATCACGCCCCCGAGGAACATCAGCACAAACTATTGTGGCGACCCTGACCGGCCGCTGATGTGTGTTCTGTTGTGTGCAAATGGGTTTGACACTGTTGTGAAAGCTGTGCATGTATTGGTTACCGCTGTTTTCTGCGAAATGCCGCGCTGTTCTGGCCAATGTGGGATCGGGGGAGGAACAGGTGCGGGAGGGTATAAGAGGGATGACAGGTGGGCGTGTTGGTTTGGTTCTGTTGGCAGGTGATGGTGAAGTTCTGGGGGATGTGTTGTTTATTCTTTCATTATTTTCTTTAGAGAGCACATGGTGCCAGTTTGGACAGCGTTTTCATTGTCTCCATACTGCGTTCAATAAAACCACCAAAAGACAAACCAGGTCTTCTCCTCCTTGTTGAGCCAGGTGCCGGCACACTGCTGGCTAGTTAACTGTCAAGTATAGGA